TTGTGCCTGTCCACAACTTTATCCCGGAGATCTTTCGACAGTCTTGCCACCCATAGTTGTTTGTTTGCTTCAGTTGCACTACCAAGGACTGAAATGCTCCAGGAAAGCTCTTTTCATGCTGAACTAATCAAAATGACCACAGCTGATCACATGAGAGTCAAATGGCGTTGTGTGCAATTGAGAAGGTGATTAGCTACACAGTTTACAAGTCATTTTTAGGAGGGAGGTTATCCTTTTTCCAACTCAGTGTTTGTTTGTTTTTTTCTGACATGTCTATGTTATATCGTTCACTTGGATGTTATAAGTTGCTCTGAGTAAATGCAGCTGGATAAAACAAAAACTGTGTCCGTCTTCATTTCAGGCTGCAAAACAACAAAATGTGATTATTTTAAAGGGGGGTGATTCTTTTCTATAACCACTATATGTGTTCCTTGTGCGTGTGGAGAGAGATGTGCGTTATTTGCAAATTTTAGAGAGACGGGTAGTCCCATATTTATTAAATGTGGTTGTTACTCACAAAACTTTGTAGTGTATACAAACCCATGTGCCTTGTATGCTTAACAGACCAGAGGTCATTTTGAAAACAATGTATACTACTACCATGCAACAGTTTTTTAATCTGAATTTTCAGCAGTCATTTCTCCAGTCTTCGGTGTCACATGATCCTTCAGAAATCATTCTACATGATCATTTTCTACATGAGAATTCTACATAACCTCTCTTTCTCTCTTGCAGGATCTAATCAACACTGTCACCAGCACCCTGTTCTTCTTTCTGGCTTCAGTGATTTTAGCAGCTCTCAACCATCAAACTGGAGCAGAGATTGCAGCTGTGGTACCTATCCCCTTACTCAGCTCTTTATTTAATCAATTCTGTCCTTGTGGTTGAATTCAAATGTTTAGTCATTTCTCAAGTATTTGAAGTGGGCCCTAATATGCCAGGGCTCTGCTGCCCTCAAGTGGCTGAAATGGAGTAAGCACATAGTCGTTCCTGGAGAGAGACCTGGACAGGCAGAGAGTGGGAAGTTCTGAGCAGTCATAGTCAACATCCACCTGAATGTTTTACATTTTTTTGCTTTGATTCTTTAATTTTTAACACTGAAATTCTCACTGGTTCCTCTTTTCATCTGTCTCCATCCAACATCTCTTCTCGGGAAGTCGTGGCCTAATTAGAGGCCTAATTTGGGTTAGAGAGTCGGACTCGTAACCCAAAGGTTGCGTGTTCGAGTCTCGTACTGGCAGGGATTGTAGGGGGGGGGAGTGAATGTACAGCGCTCTCTCCCACCTTCAATACCACGACTGAGGTGCCCTTGAGCAAGGCACCGAACCCCCAACTGCTCCCCGGGCGCCGCAGCAAAAAAATGGCTGCCCACTGCTCCGGGTGTGTGTTCACTGCTGTGTGTGTGCACTTTGGATGGGATAAATGCAGAGCACTAATTCCGAGTATGGGTCACCATACTTGGCCACATGTCACGTCACTTTCACTTTCTTCTTTTTTTCATTCAGAATTTAGTTTTTCTTCTTTTGTTTCTGTCTCAGAATTTAGAATGTGTGTCACAAGTGTGTTACTGCATAGCTCATTACAAATTCCCACAGAATTTGGTCACACATCAACCTTGTATTTGTTTATAAAGTATTTTAGCTAATTTGATTATGTTTTAAGCTGCCAGAATGAGTGTAGTGCACTCAGCTCTATTTAAGTCCATTCCACAGAATTTATGGAAGCTTTATTCCACCTCAGAGTAAAAAGATAATCATGAAATAAAGCTTAAAATAAAAAATATGAGATACAATTATACAATGTGGCAGTTTTGAGATTTAAGGTCATAGTAACTTTATCATCTTTTACTTTGAGGCTGGAAACTGGCTTCCATAAGTATTTCCACTGATTTCCCCCCAAATTTAGCACAGAAAATGCCAAAAAATTCCATTAACTCCATCTGGGACTGCTCATTACAGTGTTATAACTGAAGCCACTATAAACATTTCAGACGCACATACCTTTCTAGTTAGTTCGTCTGATTTGGTCAAGGCTACTGACCTCTTGTGACTGGGAAGAGGTTTGTTGTAGATGGCTCAGTGAAGAGAAGTAGAAGGCCAAAGTTATTCCCAGTATTGATACAGGATCAGGTTCTCTTACTGAGATCCTGACCTTTATGACTTCAGTGACTTCAAGAATGACCTGAGATCAGCAAAATATCCACCAACACCTTGGAAGTCAAAGGCTGAGGATTTGTGCTAAGAGTTTTATGATACAGATGTTCTCAGCGGGAAACCACTCTTAACACCCGGGGATTTTTCTGAACCACAGGGCACTGCAAAATTCCTTCAGCCCTCAAGCCTGCCAGAGAGATGGAGTTCTGTTATCAGTCTCATATTGAAATTTACTATAAAACATATCAATATTATTTAGTACTACATATAGTACTGTTGATTTAATGCGATATATACATCTATATATACATCACTTCAAGAAATAGTTTACCCAAAAATGAAAATTTGCTGAAAAATTACTCATCCTTAGTCCATCCATGATGTAGATGAGAAACATTGTGATCACTTGCTCAATGGATCCTCTGCAGTGAATGGGTGCCGTCAGAATGAGAGTCCAAACAGCTGATAAATGCATCACAGTAATCCAAGTAATCCACATGACACCAGTCCATCACTTAACATCTTGTGAAGTGAAAAGCTGCGTGTTTATCATTAAGGCATTTTAACTTTAAAACGTAGCTTCTAACCAAAATACCAGTCTGTGATCCATAATAACACTTCCTTGAGTGGAAAAAGTCCATCCCCTGTTGGCCTCTCACATCAAAATCCACCGGCATATTTGCCTAGAACTGTTTTGGCTTGTAAATGGTGCTTCATCTGTGCATATTTGCTCCTGATTCAGACAGGACTTTTCCACCGGAGAAAGCAATATTATGGACAGAGGACTCATATTTTAGCCAGAAGCAACAGTTAAAAATGTTTTGATGGATTTGTTTCTTACGAACACGCAGCTTTTCGTAAAATTTCACATTCATAGTTTAAAGCTGAAAACAATCCCCTTCAGAATTCTTGAGTATAAATAATTGTTTGTGTGTTTACCTCCAGATTTTTGGGTTCCTGGTAATGGGTGTGTACGGTCTGAACACATATTTGGCAGTTCGGAGATGGCGTCTCGGCGACTCGCAAGATGGACCCCTGCAGACCAGTGAGTACATCCGTGCCCGCACAGCCTCGCGGGGAGAGGTGGAGTCACGGCCTGAGCTGCAGTAAAGCACACAGGTGGACCAATAAAAACTGAGACAACACATTCCTCATGATGGAAGCCTGATGACCGAGCAGTCAGTATGAGCTCTTACAAACAAACAGTTGCATGAACAGTCTGAAATGGAACAAACTTATGGCATCTTCATCATCATCAGCCTCAGGCTGTTGTCATTTGACTGTATACTTAAATACTGTATCTTTCTGATAATTAAGGGCTTTACCTTACCATGATCTGGATAATTATTGACTGACACTGACTCTACTGTGCTCCTAAATTCCCAGCGGGGAACCTGAAAGGTTTAAGTGATATCTGTGACTGAAGTGGAATGGAAATTTGTGGTAGAGTTTATGAGCAAAAAAGTTTTTTGTTTTTTTTCCCTCTGCAATTGTGTTCCTGTATCAAACACATAGTAAACTGCAGTTGCATCGGGATGTTTTTGCAGCAGCCCCTCACTGCAGAAAACAAGATCCAGGGGGCGTGGTTGGATTCAAATCTAGGGGGTGGAGATGGGTGGGTTTGGGGATCAGGGGGTGGGGACGGGTAGGTTTAGGGATCAGGGGGTGGAGACGGGTAGGTTTAGGTATATGTAAGGTGGGAGGAGTTGGATCTGGATCCAACCACTCCCCCTGGATCTTGTGTTCTGCAGTGAGGACCATCTCTGTTTTTGGGTAGAGACGGTTTTACTAGATGTTAGGAGCACCAGTATTTATTTTAATGTTAATTATTTTTGCGATACCACAGCTTTGGTAGCTACATTGTATCAAATGTAGTATTTCACCTTGTGAATGTGACCCTGCATTACAACAGACAGCAACAGCTTTCAGATTGTCTGTGTGTGTGAACGGAGTTGTGAGTTTATGACACTTTTTAGATACTAATGTAGTCTAGATACTAATCTAAATTAGATACAAATTTTTAGTTACAAAATTGTGTGTGCATAGTCTATAGGACATTTTTTTGTTTTTTTTTGTAAGAATTTCTCTACTCCACTGTGTACTCCAACCCTCGATTTAAGCAAGGGTGGAGTTTTTGAAGAAGGTTTATATATTATATATCTGTGTGTGACATTTGACATTTATGAACGTTTCCTATGTGTATGAATTCTTATGACTGACACTAATAGACTGTATTTGAAGGAACAAGTGTACTGCAGTACATATGAATGCATTAGCTAAACTGTGTATTTTTTTTTTTCTGTGTGCCTTAATCGTAGAGGCTAGTCAGAATGCTCTTGGACTCTTGGACACTAATGTTACGACAGCATTAGCAGAATGACTGCTTCAGAGGGTGTGAAATTCAAACATTTTATCCACAGTCTCTAATGAACGGATCCCTGATTGCTTTATTGACCCTCTAATGGGCGTTTTTAAAAGGAGTGTCATCGAACGACATTAGGGGGGAAATTAAATGTATCTTTTACCACAGATTTTAAGGCATAGTGCAATTGTACGTGATATTTTCTTTTATTTTTTTGTTTATATACAGTATTCATGCTTGTGTCTTATTTTAAGTTCTTAAATGATGTCACTTTTATGATTTGGAACAAGACCAATTGTTGAAAAGAAGTCATTTTGAGGCGTGGACTCACATTCTAGACATTGATCAACACTGTGTGACTTGAAAATGTTAGACAATCACAAGAATGATTTTCTTAATGAAGGACTCCGCATGAAAGTGCCGAAGTCAGTTTATTTTTCCTATTTTGAAAGCAATACTGTGTGCTTATGCTTTAATAATGTGTAAGAGCTTTCACTGTGCTTTGACTCTATGCTGAACTTCTCATTGGAAGATTTTAGCATCAAAATAATGATTTTGACCTTATGGTTTGACTGTATTTTAAACTCACAAATCAAAAGTGTCACAAATCAAAAACAAGTGTTTCAAAAGGAACTAAGTTGACAATTTGAGGGTCAAATTTTGATAATGATTGTAGTCTTTCTTGCTGACATTTCCCGTATTCAAGAAAGCAATGTTTTATTCCATGTAACAGTGCTATACATTTGTATTTTTGTATTTATAGAGTTGTGCATAGACTTACAAAATGCTAACTGTTTAAAATATTTGTGATGGCAATCTTTTCCTCAAATAAATTGATTTGGATGGACTGTTGATCTGTAAATGGGAAAAGCCTTACTGTGGTACAGGAATCCACTGTATAGAGTGCAGTTTGTACAATCACTAAGACCCATTTCACAATACTTGTCACTTTTTTTTTTCTTCATTGCTTTGGCACAAAATACATTCAATGACTACATCTTTCAAATTACATGAATTCCTCACTCAGAAACAACAGCCACCAAAATTCTACGGGTATCTAGAGGCCTATTTGCATGTTTACATACTCTTTTCAAAAGTGTTAAATTTAAGTTAAAAACCAAAATCATAATTATTGAATAAGACAGAAATTCACTACATTTCTACAGTAATACAATAGGAATGACAAAGTGTTTTTTGGTTGATTCACTTGAAAAACTGCTAGTGTTATGGAAGAATTAGTTTTTTTTTTTTTGAGTCATCGATTAAGTGTTTTGGTAGTTTTAGTGCATTTTGGATGTGAAATTAATTGCTGTCAAGCTGAAAGTCGGCAACCCTGTTGAAAAAAAACAGCATATGCTGGTTAGGTATGTTTTGAAGCATGGCAGCTGGTTTGAGCTGGTCCTTAGCTGGTCTTAAGCAACTAGCTCCTGCTCAGGACCAGCTGCCATGCTTCAAAACATACCTAAGCAGCATATGCTGGTTTCTTCAACAGGGAAGGAAAACTGTGTGACGAGTTTTGAAAAAGTGACCTTGAAGAAGTGTGGAGAAATGTGCCCCAGCGATTGTAAAACACTGTAAATTCAAATCTACTGAAATACACATATCACTAACAAACTCTATATCCCATTTTTGCTCCTAACATTCAAAATAATTGGCAAAATTAAAATCTTTATTTGCTAAAAAATAAACAATACTACAAAAATTGCACCAAAATTATTTATTGATGTGGCAATCTGACAGAGCATCTTTCCAAAAGAGTCCTTAAAGCATATCCACTAGAAGGTGATGCCTGAGAATACTATAGTAAACCAGGCGACGCTCCCTTATGCACTACTGATGCTCACATTTATAATACAGGTTCAATAGCAGAGCAGTGCCACTTTAAGAATAGTACATCGCTAGGTGAGCATGATGAGACAAATCCTGTCTTTTTTGCAGTACTTTGGCAAGACATTGGTTTTACTTCAACATTACAAGACTAACGCCAATGTGTAGACCTGTGGAAATAAGACAGGTGACTGTGGCCAGCCAACCACCTGCTAATTTCATACATGATGTAAACTTATTTTGTTGCTACAAAACATTACAATTATTTGTTATGAAATAAAAGAATACTGTTCGGTTTCTGGCACAAACCGATCGTTTCGTGTTTTCAGGACATCAATGTGTTGTCACGAGCCGCAGGGTTAATTTGGATTTGTCTGTGCATGTTTTTTTTACTCTCAAAGATTTTGTTACCATTGCCATGCATTATACGACTGATAGACTGCAACGGCTGGACTTAAAAATCATAATTTGTGTTCTACTGAAGAAACAAAGTCACCTACATCTTGGATGCCCTGGGGGTAAGCAGATAAACATCAAATTTTCATTTTTGGGTGAACTATCCCTTTAATGACAGAATTTTCATTTTTGGGTGAACTATCCCTTTAACACTATAAGTACACCTAAGCTGTAAGAGGCAGTACATAGTCATCACAAATGGTACAATACTGCCCTTCTTCCAAAAATCTATCAACAAGCTTGACTGTTGATAGACTAATTCGCTTTGGGAAAATCAAATGAGAAAGGCTTGTATGGACGCATACAAAAATGACTGAAAACTCTATAGCTTCTATTATGTGATTTGAAATAGACTGCTTAACTCTAGTCACAAAAAGTATACCCAAAACAACAAACAATAAAAAAGTTTTGTTTTTGTTTTGGTTATCAGGCACTGTAGTGGTCGCACACCAGGTTTTTGGACACAATCACAGCTTTAGTCAGAGTCAGAGTCTGAGTCATCATCTGTGAGGAAGAAGAATGTGTTATTCTGGAAGAAAGAGTCTCTGAATAACCACAGAAAAGAGAAAATGAGATGGGGATTTCCCAGTGAAAATAATATGCCATGGAAGTTTAATGCATGTGACTATGCATGACAATTGCTAGGACTTTAGTTTGCTTGTAGCGAGACAATTCATACATTTAAATGATACTGCAGGAGTTCAGTCTGCCTGGTCACTTACAGTAACTAGAAGAAAAGCTACACTGGTTGACTAAACCACACTTATAAGAAACCACATCACCTTTCACTTCCTATGTCTAGTCTCACTAATAGTTTTGCTGCTTTAGTTTGATGTGTAAAGCTTCATGCAAATATCCTGTGAAGGAGACTCCAGCAGAGAAAAGAGAATATTTTCACATCTCAGGATTTACATTTTTGTTCAAAAGTTTGGGGTCAGTAAGATTTTTTTATGTTTTTGAAATAAATCTCTTACGCTGACCAAGGCTGCATTTATTTGATCAATAACATAGTAAAAACAGTAATATTGTAAAATAGTATAACAATTTAAAATAACTATTTTCTATTTTAATATATTTTAAAATGTAATTCATTAATGTGATGGCAAAGCTGAATTTTCAGCATTACTACAATCTTCAGTGTCACATGATCCTTCAGAAATCATTCTAATATGCTGATTTGTCTCTGAAGAAGCATTTTGTATTATTATCAATTTTTGAAAACAGATGTGACGCTTAATATTTTTGTAGAAACTGCAATATATCTTTTTTCAGGATTATTTTGATGAATAGAAAGTTCAAAAGAACAGCATATATTTGAAATAGAAATCTTTTTGTCAATATATAAATGTCTTTACTGTCATGTTTGATCAATTTAATGCATGCTTGCTTGAATGGTAGTGTACAGTAAATAAGATCCCAGTATTGATACCTTGTGTGTTTGGTGGTTCCTCACTGGAATCACCTCCCTTGAGGAAGTTGGCCAGTTCATTGAAGATGAAATAAAAGTCTAGGGCGAAGAATATTGTGGTAATGAAGCCAAAGACCTAAGAAGTGCAAGAGAAAGAAAAACAGGCACATGAAACCAGTGCAAACATCACACAAGTCACATGTTGTATAACTGTAATTCAAAAATAAACATTGCTGTCACTGATGGCGCCGATAAAACTGATGTGAGCCTACCCCAGCAGCCTTTGAGGCTCCATCCAGATATTTTGACACAGATATCATAGAAATGATGAAAAAGATGATGGATGCGCTGACACAGCGCAGGAAGTCCTTGGTGAAACAACAGGCATGGTGATTTGGAAAGAAGGAAAGAACTGGTATTCATGGACAAATGTTATAATCTAATGCTCTATTTTCCAGTACAGTAATTTTGTAGGTCAGTAAACTTACCATGAGGGGCCAGTGAAAGCCCTTGAATCTCTCATTGAACTTTGTAGAATAAGCAAACAGTAAGAAGAGGGCAGCCAAGAACTCTATGAAGGGAGCTGTGACGAAGGCAGCTGCTGTTGAAGCAGCAAAGCACACAAAGCTGATGAACGACATCACCTGAGGGGACAGGAAGCGTGAGGATCCATTTTTATTTAATTATTGTTCGTTATTATTGTGTTAATTGCTCAACATTTGTGACAGGGTGAGTGCACTAGACCTTTTAAAGACAAAAACTCACAGTTAATCAATAAAGCAGAAATTAATGTTTTGACAGCATATTAGAAAGATAGGTCTGAAAAGAGACTGATCAGTCTGCCTTAACAGAAAGCAACATCATTTTGTACAGTACAGTATGTACTAGGGATGGAACGATTACCGGTTTCACGATAAATCACGATAAAATGCCCTGACGGTTAGTATTACCGTTTAAAATGTAATTATCATCAAAACCGCGTTTGATTATCGCGCTTTTGAAAACTCGCGGTAAATCCTGTCCAGCCAGCATCAGTCTGACGCAGAAGCAGCATGCAATGTGGTTGTTTTTTAACGTTTTCATCTAATTTGAACAAAACCGTGATAATATTGATAATCGTGATAACTTTGGTCACTATAATCGTGATATGAAATTTTCATACCGTTACATCCCTAGTATGTACTAATACACCACATCAAAGACCTCTGCAACTCACATGGGACCACACACATGCACACAAACACACGTGGTGAACTCTTAATGACCATTCACACCAAGAACGGTAGACTATAACTATATTAACTTTATTAGCGGCCACCAAAGGATGTTCTGTTTATTAACAGAACATATGCAACAGTTATGTACGCTTCAAATACTCAAGTGCTACTGTGGAGTCTGATTGGCTGTCAATGTTTTTTTTTATCGATTAGTGGCTGGAAAAAAATGTTCTGAACGTGCTTCCATTATCGTTAAAGTTGTGGTGTGGACTTCGCTATTCTCATAAAATTAGAATGATTATTAAAACTTTATAGTTATTGTTACACAGTATTGTAATTATTATATCCTGTATACAAGCAGACTAAGCCTCATATCAACCTTAATTGTACAGCCTGAGAAGTTTGAATAGCCATTATTATTATATTTTACATAAACAATTGTGTGTGTGTGCACTGGTTTGGGTGGTTTATACACAAATTTGTATAATGACAAGCGTATGACACAGGTAAAACAATATGAAGGTGGTTTATAAGGACACTTCCTGTGTCCCCGTAATTCAAAAGGCTTAAAAAAACATACTAAATGGTGTTTTTTAGAAAATCTAAAAATTGCACAAAGTTTTCTGTGAGGGGTAGGTTTAGGGTTGGGGTAGGGCGATAGAAAATACCGTTTGTACAGTATAAAAACCATTACGTCTATGACGAGTCCCTGTAAACCACCAATACCAACGTGTGTGTGTGTGTGTGTGTGTACATGTTTTTCTATACTGGTGGGGACTTAAACCTGAATACACACCAACTCATGGGGACTTGTGTCATCCTTGGAGACTTAAATTGACGTCCCCATGGGTACAGAAGCTTATAAATCATACAGAATGAGTTTTTTTGAGATTGTAAAAAATTTTTCTGTGAGTGGTAGGTTTAGGTGTAGGGTTGGTGTAGGGCGATAGAAAATACAGTTTGTACAGTATAAAAACCATTACGCCTATGGAGAGTCCCCACAAGGATAGTGAACCAGACTGTGTGTGTGTGTGTGTGTGTGTGTGTGTGTGTAAAATATGAGGGGCGTTTTGTGACCTCTATAAAAAGCCACTACTTGATAAAAAACTAAAAACTCCCACTTCAGATGAAGTTTGACCTATATAGGCCTACTGTAGAAAACAACTAATGTACATTCATTCAACAAAGAAGCAGAAACTTTTCAGTACAAAATATAATAAAAGAATAACCACTGAAAAACAGATCGATAAGAAAAATAATCTAAAATCAGAAGAATAAATGCCATGATTTACGTCGCACTTCTGTGGCTGCATCCAGATGTCAACAGCACAACAACAACAACAAAAAAACATCCTTGTAAGTCAGATAATAACATTTAGAAGATATAACATAGCCCTACCACAAAACAACGACTTATACACTATCATGGATGTATTTAACATGATAAAAGTCGAAAAGCATACCACTTCACCGAGCAGCAGTAGTCCTTTTCGGGAGGTGATGAATTCTTTACTCGGGAGAAGAGAACGAACTATGGTCTGTCGTGGTCGGTTATTCTCCGGAGCCTCGATGTCCCCCATGATCACGCCTCTGAAACTCCTGTTCCCGAATGAAGTTCACACAGAGATGCTTCCTACTCTCCGCTACGAGACAGCTACTATTCGCAGAGCGGCATTACTTTCCACGGAGTGGAAACGGAAATACTGACAGTGCGGAAACGAAGCACACAAAAAAGCAACATCTGCATTCCCGAAATCTGGAGACCGTTAATAAGTGAACAGAGAATGTGGGCGATACATCTCTCAGAGGACGGAGGGTCTGCTGTAAAGATATTCGTGCAACTGCACAACTTCCCTCTGCACGACTGAACAGATTTAAGCTCTGTTGGGCTTCTGTCAGACTTCAAGCCCATTCTAATCATTCAAAATCGTTTTTGAAACTTCTTAACTTTAGCTAACGTCACGTGCTGTTCATAATAACAGATAACGTTTTCAGAATGTTTTTAAAAATCTACCATGAAAAAAAAAAAAGACGTCAGGCAAGTCATGAATGCAGTTAGCTACTTTTATGCACTGAATGTAATTATTTTGGTATATTTAGTAATTTCTGCAACATTCAAATTGTGTTTATACTGAACATGGTTTAAATACATTGTTCATGCTTTGGTCAAATCAACCTCAAATTAGCATAATAACTTTGGATAACAACAATCTTTCAGACAAAGTGCATTTTTATTTTGATAACAAGAACATAAAATCATCAGTGTTAATGTTGAGACAATAACAACATGATGCTCAATTTATTTGCACTTTATTATTACCTTTGCACACTTATTAGAGCAACATGCATTCCCATGCGTTGGTTCTGGAGACTGTTAATAAGTGAACAGAGAGAATGTGGGGGATCTCTCACAGGACAGAGTGGCAACTCCATTTATTAAAAATATTAATAATAATAATAATAATGAATACATTATAACTAAGTATTTTACAATCTTATTTTGGTTATACAAAACAAGTCTGCTCACAAAATGAGAGAGATGGTCCTGCAAAGCTTTACCCTGTTTGGGCCTCTGTGGTGGTTCTTGGCTTGTTGAATGCGATTTTTTTGAAAAGGATATAGCCATCCAAGGACCACAAGGCTGCAGCCACAAAGCCCACGATCTGTTAACCAAAAGACTGCATAGTGAGAAACATGTTGCGTCATAATGTTTGGGTCATTCACAATGAATATTCACATAGGTTTGAAAACGTATGAATGATTTAAGACCTGCATAGTGCTTAAAAAGATAAATAGAGAGTTCCAGGAATGGAGGATGTATACATTCTCACCCCTCCGCTCAAAGTACCCTTCACTGTGTATGTGGAAACTGCTACCAGGCTAAGAATACACATCAGAGCAGCTGCAAAGAATGAGTTGAACACATCCTGTGAGAGCATAAGGTCATTACCAACAGTTCTGTTTGCAAAGCTGCAGTTGCAGGTATTGGTGGCATTATACAAAGTTCCCTGAGCAATAACAATGCTGCAAAATATTTGCATTCATTCAATCAAGCGCACTAGATTTATGTTCTTACAATAAGAGGCCAGAAGAAGAGAGTGAACATCTTGTTGAGTTTCAGTAGGTAAAGCAGAAGAAAACCAAGTGTGATGAAAAACTCCATGCATGTTGCTGCAATGTAGACCGGCCTAGATGCCACTGCATAACACACAAAAGCCACAAAAACACATACCTGAAAATAAAAATGAAGATTATTTTAAGGACTTTTAGTAAGATGACTAGATGTTATTTGACTGAAATGTAAAGTGTAATGTGATTTTAGTTAGCAGGCCTACATTGCTTCCCTTTTTAACAATGTACCAAGCCTATGCCAGTACTATTTAAATAAGTGATTGCGAGTGGTTGAGCATTTCCCAAAAAGTATCATAAATAACAAAACTCATGTTAAATTTGTATAAATGTCTCACCATTTCTGATATTTTCAGTAGACCTTTTGTGGACTTCAACAAGGCCAAATCAACTTCCATTGTGGCATTAATATGATCTCTGTGCATATGTTTTATGTCGATGAGTAGTTCTCATAACACAGCTTGTCAATCTTGGCACATTACTTCCTGAGTGAGTGTTTCCTCTTAGTCTCAGGAAATGACTAAATACCTTTTTTTTAAAAACCATTTTCAGCGGTAATCTGATTCAGTTTATGGTAAGAATCTGGGGGTAATATTTCTGCATGCATTGACAATTTTGTAAAGTGCAAATCATAAAGTGATAAACAGTAAAGTACTGTAGATCTGGAGAGCACTGTGATTATGGCTGATCACGGCCAATGATGAGATCTATATACTTCTTGAAATAGTCATGTCAATCAAAATAAACGTAATTGTATTGTTTTAACTCTTTCATTAATAGATCACACAATATTTTACAGACGACGCAATCTATTCTATTGAGAAAACAAACGATATGAAGCAAACGCACTGCTTGGTTTTGCAGCGCCATTTTATTAACTTGGTCATTCAAATTAGTTTTGTCATTTGGAGGTTGCGTCATGTTTCGATGAGGAACAAATACAGACAAACAGGTCAACTACTAATCCCTGTGAAACAGTGATAGGGAAAATTTGCTTTGCGCTCAGCCCTTCTTTCAGGAATAGAAAGATTCGACATCTTTTTCAGAATGATATAACTACTGTTCCTTCTGTTGTATTTCACTGGAGTAATTATCTTTATGCTATTCCTTGGAAGAGTGTGTGGTCGTTACCCAATAAATATTTAATTACGAACAAGGTTAAAGAGGTATCCTTTAAATTGCTACATCGAGTTTACCCTGTGAATGTTTATATTAAAAAAATGCTTCCGGAGAAGGATCCTCTTTGTTCCTTTTGTGGAATGGTAGATGAGTCTGTCTCTCATCTCTTTTGGGAATGTACCCATGTAACCATTTTTTGGAAAAAAATTCTGTTTATTTATACGTTCTTCTCTCTTAGACAATTTTTCTTTGTTGTACAAGGATGTTTTATTTGGTTTTTATCATGTTGATAAGAATCTAAAGGACAAATATTTTCTAATAAATCTATTTATTTTGCTAGCAAAATTTTTTATACATAAGTGCAAATTTTTGTCTGTAAAGCCCCTATTTCTTATATTTTGTAAAGATCTGAAGTATTACTTGGAAACAATATCTACCTCCAGCAATGTTAAAGCCTTAAAATCGATAACATTGTGTGCATCTTATAATATTGGTTCTTTCCTATAATGTACAGTTGACTGAATGCTCTGTGACCTTTTGCCTGGTTGTTAAAAAGTGCCTTTTGAGGCACCTTTACTTTATATAATGTAATTTATATTACCCCTGGCCCTGTATGTTTTTTTTTTCTTTTTCTTTTTGTTTTGTGATTTTGTTGTTACTAGGGTTGTATATTTTTGTATACTTGTTGCTAATCCTAATAAAAGAAGAGAGAGAGAGAAAAAAGACGAACAGGTCAACTACATGCCTGTATAAGCATTGTAGACATGAGTGTCAGACTCCCTTGTTATTGCAATATATTTACTTTAAAATCGATATACATTCCACACACTGTAATGGATCAATAGCCTATTAGCTGCAATAACTATTTCTCTATACAATTTTGCGTGATAATAATAATAATGCAGGCTTATTGTACAAATAATAGTGTACATCTTACGAATCATTTAGTGACGATTTAAAAATTGTGACTTTTATTTTGACATGTTTTGGTCACTCATTAGTGTTGCAAGTAACACTGCAAGTTCTGCGCATCATGAGTTCATATCACACTTGTATATTTGTATATGTGACTACTAGACGTCGATGAAACAAGCGAGATGATTGTTGACTTGTTAAAAGAGTTATGTCGTGTTGTTTTACCTCTGTATCCACACAAATCTTTGTCAACACATGTACTTGTCCGACAGACGCCTGCACTGGGAAAGCATTTAAGCGGACGTTCGCGGGGCAGCACATCTGTCAATCACCGTAAGTCCTGCGCCAGCTTCCGTCCTACGCAATATTCATTTAGTGACGATTTAAAAATTGTGACTTTTATTTTGACATGTTTTGGTCACTCATTAGTGTTGCAAGTAACACTGCAAGTTCTGCGCATCATGAGTTCATATCACGCTTGTATATTTGTATATGTGACTAGACGTCGATGAAACAAGCGAGATGATCGTTGACTTGTTAAAAGAGTTATGTCGTGTTGTTTTACCTCTGTATCCACACAAATCTTTGTCAACACATGTACTTGTCCGACAGACGCCTGCACTGGGAAAGCATTTAAGCGGACGTTCGCGGGGCAGCACATCTGTCAATCACCGTAAGTCCTGCGCCAGCTTCCGTCCTACGCAATATATCGGCGACCACAGCTCTCATTCTTATTTATATATTTTTATAGTATTTCTCGTTCATTTCGTATTTTCTTCAAATCTTCCCTAACCGAGTTATATCATGCTCTCTCAGCTTTGCATTAACAGTACTGGCATGAGCTTAAGCTTGTTACCTTGTGCATCCCCGAGCCTTTGACTGTTGCCATAGAGATTTGCCGCTGAATCCGAGAAAGGTTTCATTATGTTGTCTTCTTCTCAAGGGAAGCTGGTTAGAAACGGCGAGGAGAAGAAATCAGTGGTGAGTTACACACTACAGCATGTATCTGGATGAATAGATCCTCTGATCTGAAAGAGGGTCAATCACACGGCTGAAGAATACAGTGAACACAATATTGTTTAATATGTTTATGGGTGGTTGTTGTTGTTGTTTTGAAAATTGCATCCACTTTTGTTCAGATTTGGTTGGAGGGAAATATTGCAAGTGGAAAGACAACATGTCTGGAATACTTCAGCAAAACCAGTGACATTGAGGTAATACAGTAAATCTGTGATGAATAATATTTCTTACAGTTTCTGAAATCTCTCTATTCTTGTTATTCATTTATTTAATATACATCTAAAATGTGTCTTGTGTTTTAGGTGCTAACAGAGCCAGTGTCTAAATGGAGAAATGTACAAGGATGCAATCCATTGGTAGGTATCATGTGACACTTCATTATGGATTTAATGAGCTTTTTATTTCTGATCCATCGAGGTGTAAACTTTATTGCATATTTGATTATCTAATAAATGTATTTTATTCTGCCACAGGGATTGATGTACCAGGACCCATCTAGATGGGGACTCACTCTTCAGACATATGTCCAGCTGACAATGCTAGATTGGCATGTCTTACCAATGGCATGTACAAGTCCTTTTTCACATCCACATAGTCAGTTTTGTTCAGTTGCTTTACATGTATCTGTTTTTGTCCTGCAATTCAGAAATTAGCCTCCGCCTTCTGCGTGAACAGAGGAAATGGAATGCGAATCATGACTGCAATAACCTGTTTTTTTTCTTTCTGTCGCCACAGTCAGCACCAATCAGAATGATGGAAAGATCTATTTACAGTGCAAAGTACATTTTTGTGGAAAATCTTTACAAAAGGTACATTTCCTTATAACGTTGAAAGAGCTTTACCTGCCCACTATTGAACAAAAAATGGGGTAACACTTTATTTTGGTGTCCTTCTTACACGCTACATGTACTTAGTATAGTAATAACAGTAAATTATAAATAAACCAAACCCTATCTCTATAGTAAGTACATGTTGTTAAGTAATATTGCTTAGTATTGTTTCATTACACTATGTCAAAGACACCTTCAAATAAAGTGTAACCACAAAATGTACTGATCATTAAACGTGTACTAATGTTAAATGAAAAAGTATTATTTTATTTGGTTGACAGTGGAAAGATGCCTGAGGTGGACTTTGCTGTTTTGAGTGAATGGTTTGAGTGGATCATAAAGAATATTGCTATTCCTGTGGACCTTATTGGTATGGCAAATATATCTGTATTGCATTGCAACACCACATGTTGCTCGTTAGATAACTGAAATTTTGTAATAAATGTTTTAGTGTAGCATAACTAAAACATTTTTTTGCATGTGTTCATTGGTTTTTATACAGTTTACCTGCAGACGTCTCCACAGACTTGCTACGAAAGACTAAAGCAGAGGTGCAGAGAGGAAGAGAAGGTTATTTCCTTGGTGAGCTGTTGTTGAGTTATAAGTGAACCGCTGTGCATGCAAAACTGAACTGAAACAACCCAAAATAGATTCTGTAACTCTGCTGTCAATGGCGAAAGAGCAAATGGCGGCAACATTTTAAAGGGGTCATGAATTGAGAAATCAACTTTTACTTCAGCTTTTGATGTATAAGAGATCATCGTACTAAAAGAATATCCTGTAAGTTTCAGAACTGAAAACGTCCTTGTTACTGAAATAAAAGCTTTTATTGACACCAGGCCCAGTGAACGCCTAATCCTGGAATGTGCCTACCTATGACGTAATAGATAGGTTAAACACCGCCTCCTAATTCTGTAGCCCCGCCCACTGATTCGCGCATGACATAGTAGGGAAATAACGGAAGTGGCGCTAAACCGGATCGAACAACCAAGCAATAAACATGCCGTTAAAGATCGCAAAATATTGTGCAGTGCCTGGTTGTGGAAGAACACAGTCGCTGCATAACCTTCCTTCGGATTCAAATATTAGGAATGCGTGGTTGAACTTTATTTTTAATGAAGTTTCAGCTCACGTGAGTAAAACATTAAGCATTTATTCGCTTCATTTCACCGCAGATTCCTTTGTAAACAAGACTCAGGTCGACGCTGGATTTGCAGGGAGACTGAGATTAAAAAGCAATGCTGTGCCGTCTATATTAGACCCGACAGGAATGGCGCAGCACACTTTTGTGTGAGTAAAAAATATTTGTACTATGTGCCACTATTGCTTTGTTAGAGATCGCTTGATACATCCTGATTATGTGTACGTGTCTAACCAAAGTCTCAAACAGACACACAGAAAGTTAGTTTACTATGCAAAACTGTTATCCAATCATAGCAGTGGATGTTTACTTCCAAGTCTTCAATGCGGCACGCCCATAAAAACCAAGAGTTTCTCGAGCCGGCCTCAAAACCAGGGTAGAAAATAGCTATTACTTATTGATTTTGATGTTTTTGAATGTAAAAACCATGCGAACATCATAAGTGGACCTCAGACAACAGTATAAAATAAAAAAGCCAGTTCATGACCCCTTTAAGTTTAAAGCTTTGGTTCTAGCTCAGAGATGACTTTCACTTTTAATGGTATCAGAAGGCTAGATTACAAACATTACATATTTTTTATCATATATTCTGAAAGTGATTGCACTTTCGCTGATGTTTACCCTTTAGGAATACCTAGAATCAATCCATAACCTCTATGAGGACTGGCTCATTCATCACAAGTCATTTGAGGTTCCTGCTCCAGTTCTGGTGAGTTTCTGCCAAAAGTCTTTGCATCATATGATATATATTGTGACATAATGTATAATCACTTGTTGATGAGCTGAACTCGTGAATAATGTTCCATGCACTACATCTTGGAGTAATTTGTATTTTCACTTTGGTGGGCAGGTAATCCCAGCAGATCATGACCTTAAGAAGATGCTGCATCAGTATGAGGAAAACAGAGAGAAGATACTAATGGCACATTGCTGAGGTTAAGATCCGAGACAATGATGATCATATCAATCCATACATATGTCTTCAGCTCTCATTGAGACAGATGAAGCAAGCACTTTTTTTTTTTTTACTTGAAACTGGATTTACAAACATTCCTCCAGCAGTGGAAAGTTAATTTTTATAGTAGGATTTGTAGAATTAGTTCATATGATATGTGTTTTATTTCAATCCTGCCTTTTATGATTATTATTTTGTATTTGCATTTGCAGTCTTTGCAAACTTGGTTTATGCACTTAACAGGAGACACAGTCTTCATTTTTAGTCTTGTTTATGAAAGCATTCCATATTACCTAAAACTGCTGCACTTAGAAACATTTCCATTGGCTCTTTTGTTATGTCAGTAGACATTTTAAATTCTGAATGGCAATTCATGTTCATTCTGTCACTTACAGACAGTGTCACTAACAAATACAGACACTGTGGTCTGTTTACGTTACTGAAGGTGTTACTGTGACCAGTGTAATTTATACTGCATAAGGCATTGTTTTAAATAAATTGGAAAAAATGATTTGAAAATATTGATTTTATTACATTGTAATTTACAGTCACATAATTCTATGATGTGCTCCACTGTAGCCTCAGTAGCACTTTAAGATCAATACAAAACTTGTTTGCACCTTGTTACTTTAAATAACAGCTAGTATAATAAAGATGCACCAGGGGCTTTATTTATAAAACGTTGCACAGAAACCATCCTACATTTGATCTAAGATCATTTCTCAAATGTGCATGTGATTCAGAGAAATGAATTTACGCACACAAAAAAAAAGTGCGTATATGCCTCTCTTCCAGATGTGAATCTATAAATCACAAATGATCTTGAAATTGTGCACAGCTGAATTGTTTCAAATCTCTTGTCTTGTAAACACCCCTAATCAATGTCATTAGCATATAAAAGAGCACCAGTCAATGTCCAAATCCTTTACTTGTGAATGACAAGTGACAACATTTTTTTGATTTCCAAATACCCGCAGTAGTCCAATTCTGCTACAAGAAAAATATGTGTACACCTGCTTAGAACCTGACATGGCACTAAGCACTTTTCCATGTCAGACCGTTTTTACAAATCTTAATACTGGCATGAATTTTAGCTTACACTCTAGGATCAAATCTGTGTGTACGAACGTTTTATAAATGAAGCCCTGAACACCATTTTTTTAACACTTATATTACCCCACATTAATCCAAGGATAGACATCCCAGCAGAACAAATGTTCCATTAAGAAAACAAAGTGCACATTTATTTGTCTCTACATTTAGTAAGGCACAGTAGGCCTACTTAGAAAATCAAGCTCTAATAATCATTTTGACCCAAGCAGGTTCATGAAAATTATAGCAGCAAGATGTGTTCCTTCACTTCAAAAAGCTATGATAGAAGTTAAAGACAAAGGGTGCAGATGTTCTTCCTGTCACTTTCATAAACTGTAAGATACTAAAGCTAATCTGAAATCAGGGCTTCATTAACAAGAAACTTCCTATCAGTGAAAATGCTTTGCATATCATGACTACCACAAAGACATTTTTGGTGCACTGCCACATTCTAGTACACTTTAAAATCTCTGCCATGGATAAGGAAAAAACAGGACTTTGTGTCTCTAAATCACCACATATGTTTGGACTAGGTCGTCTTCTGGTTGCTGAGGTGTAGGACTCTTGTGCCCGTTTGAGCCCTCATTGTGGTCAGTTGGTGGTCCAAACACTGGTGGGCAGGCACTTAGTGCACTAGGGATGTAGATTGACTGAGGAGGCTCTTTAATGAGGCTGTCCTGTGCAAAAATGCCATCAGATGCAACACAGCTCCCACAACCTGTGATGTTGCAGACAGGCTCCTGGGATGGGCTGCACAGGATGGGCAAGCTCATGCCATCTGGGGATTTTGTGGGTGGAGCCGTGATGACGTCATTAGGGCCACTGCATGGCTGGGCCTGTGCGGTCTCCTCAATGGGATATTTAAGAGGCTCATCTGCACTGAGTTCCTTCATGTGCATTTTCCCCATTTGCTCAGTGAGCTCAGCCAGGCAGTCTTCTGATGAGCCTTCACGGCTACGTCCTTGCAGCAGCTTCCCGACTTGAAGAACCAATGGTTTGTCATCTGAGGGCTGGGCTTCTACAAGAGCATTTGGGATGTGAAGTTTTCTATGTCCTGGCGTGGTCTCAGTGTGTATGGCTATAGACTGGGGGCCACTCATGTCAGTACTGGCCTCGTGGAACAGGCCTGCATTGTGGCCCCTGGATCCAGCCCACTCCTGGGCTTTGAGAGGCTGTATAGATCTTTGAGACTTTCGGAAAATAGGCTTTTGTCGGATGGCCAGGTCTGGGTAGTTCTTCTGCATCTCTAAGATAGACTTGTCGTCAGTCATAAATGAGTTGGATGGTCTCTCTACATCAGAGATAGACGAATCTTGAGACTTGTCGGCTCCCTGATCATGAGGGTTATGACTTTTAAGTGACTCCTGTTGCTGCTCTTCCCCTGGGCTTACCAGTGACCCACCTTCAACATGCCCATCATCCTTAAAAACATCCTCATTTAGATTACAGATGTTGCTGATAGGTTCTGAAGCTTCTTCCCCAGCAACGAAGGTCAGAGGAGCAGCTCTTGTTTGGATGATCTCCAGACATTCTACATGTGATCTCTGGTTCATGAGCTCCAGAAGATACTCACACTCTAACCTGACAAGGAAAAGGTCGAATCCCATACTCTTGGCCTTGTCGGGGTCAAAATTGTCCGACAATTTATACTCGGTGTCTGTTTCCATGCAGTATCCAATAATCTGAAGAATACTTCTGGCAAAAGGCAATACTGGCTTGATGTAATAGACAAAGTGTCCTGTAAATGTCTGAAAGAACAGGGGAATAAAACAATTCTGATTAATTGTAAATTATTATTGTATATCTAATTATTTTTTCACTTCTAAAATAATTAAACCTTGTGCCCTGATGTGGTAAATTACTGTATTGCGACCAATTATTATAGCTTTCATGTTCTGCTGAGATTGACAGTTTACACCACTCAAAGAATCTTAGCAGAAGTATATATATATGTATATATATATAAATTCATACTTCCGTGTTAAATATTGTTTTGAGGGCAACAGTATTTGCGGTCTATCAGACCTCAAACAGAACTTTAGAATTAAAGGAAGTCAGCAAGAGCAGCCTTGCTAAAAGAAATCTTAAAGCAGCCTAAAATGGTATGCTGATTTTAACTGGTCTTAGTTTGCCTTCCAGCCTGGCTAAGATGTTTTCAGATGGCGTAGTTGATGTCAAATCTGGTCTAAACAGTTGATAATTACTCAAAATCCTTCTAAAACCAGAAAACTGTTTTAAAATCTTCTAAAATCAGCCTGAACAGTCTAGGAGACCAGTGAAAATCAGCAAACCATCTAGGACTGGTTTAAGTTACACTGTTTTTTGTTTTTAGCATAATCAGCTCTCAGAAAAGTCATTATGTATTAACAATACTTTGGTGTTAAAAATTATTTTGAGGTCAACGTGCTTGGGGTCTCTCAGACCTCAAATAGAACATGAGAATTAAAGGAAGTCAGTGACAAATAACCAGCCTCAAATAGTTTGCTAGTTTTACTTGGCATTCCAGCATGTCTAAGCTGTCTTGTTGATTGTCTAGCTGGTCTGGTCAACTGAAAAGTACCCCAAACCCTTCTAAAACCATAACAGACCAGTCTGATCAGGCCAGGAGACCAGCAAACCATCTGAGGCCGGTTTAACAACTTCTTATCATCAGCTGGGAGAGTAGAGAGGATAGACCTAGCCTATCACTAGCGGCTTTCATTTACCTTTAATGTTTTAATCTCTTTCTTCCACGGAAACAAAAACAGGTTGACACAGAACATCTCCAGTAACTCGGCGGCTTTTTTAAAGTCGCGGACTCGTCTCTGGCAGTCTCTGTACTGTGCGCACTCATACAGAGTCTCATAGAAGTCCGGCGTGTTGAATCTCTTCCGCGGCTCTTCCTCCGGTAACAGCAGCACGCGCCTGGCTTCATCTGTCACCTGTGTCTCTGAGCACACTTTCAGGTCGCCTTCACAACAAAATCTGTCGTAGTACTGTAGATACTTAACGAACACGTCTTTTCGCGAAACAGGCGTTTGGTCTTCGACGTTGTTGGTCATTATTGTGACAGAAAGTATAATCAAGTTGATCAACTCCCGTTGAGGAAGCGAAAGTAGACAGTATGCAAATGAGGAGTGATGATGATGAATATGCAGGTATCGCAAACGCAAATACGGAAGAACCTCAAATATACGTTTTCATATTGTAGTTTAATAATAATTTAGCAGGATTACAGTAATTAAAGTAATTCTTACATTTCCATAAATGTCCATGACCGATAAGCAAAACTGTCCTGTAGGCATCAGCGACGTAATAGCGATCTCGTTATCATTCATCTCAGCCTTAACAGACACCTGAAATAACTATATATTACACCTCTGTAAGTACACTTGATTATTACAGGGGTGTTTGTCCTCGATTTGTCCGAGAAACGGTTGCTGATATACCTACATGTCACCATTGTTATTCTGCCTTCGTATGTGGGAAACATTACTGACATCTAGTGCGTGCAAAAAATAAGTAATTCTCATGACTTGCGTGTAAAAGATGTCCAGAAGATGGCGCCGCAATCACAAAATGGACGCAATGCACGTCAAACACGTAATTTGAGTCATGGCAGAAAGGAAAATACCGGGGCAAGTTGCAAAAGCATAGCCACTACATGTTAAGAATGTGTTTTAAGAACTGGTTTGACCACCTAGCAGTTAGCCAATCAGTCTCAATTTTCTGATTAAAATTGGGCCAAACTACATTTTTTTAAACTGATGTAAACAGTTATGACCAGTCTAGAAGAAAACAAATTAGATGGCAAATTTTTAAAGACTAGTCTAAGCAGTTTATGCAACCGGCCCCTGATCTATGAATTGGGTATCCATGGGGGAAATCCAGCTTAAACTTGAAAATGTTGTGGAACATTTTATGTAGTCTTGTGTAAATAAGTGGTGCATGAAATGGTAAATATTCTGTACAACAATCTCAAAATAGCATAGTATTATCTGATAACGGACCTTACCCTGTACCTCCACATTAGTTTAATATA